TTTGTTTGGCTTCTTCCTGCCTATTTGTATTTCTTAGGGCCTTATCTCTGGGGCTTATAGGTTGACTAGCAAGAGTCTTATAGAAAGGCAATGTAAAGTCACTGGTTAAGGGGATGTGTGTCGTCTACTGCAGCGATATGATTACCCTGGAGTGGGGATGTGTATATTGTTACTCAGTAAGTCTCTGACTTACGAACATTTGAGTTGTAAACTTACAGATACAAACAGACCCATGTGGGATGCAGGCGCTAGAAAGTTCTACAAGAAGCTTTGAGGCATATTTTTACTTCTGGTTTTCAGAAACTCAGAAAAGTGTTTCTCTGAGTAGCCAGAGGGGCTGAGAAAGTGGTGACTTTGCCACTGCCACCTGTTCGGAGGGAGTCTCTGAAACCCAATCTCCCCTCAGCCCACAGCCCAGTGCCCCCTTCGCCAGCTCCCTGGTCCCCCCACTCCCTGCACTGGGGGTGGGGTGGGGGCTAGGCCCATCTCCTGAAGGGACACACATAGGGGCTGGGATTGGGGACTGAACCCCCAGGCAGGGGAGACAGACAGACGGCCCGGGCATCCGCCCCAGCAGGCAGGCAGCCAGGAGGAGATGGAGATGGGGTACGTACGGGGGTGTGACAGGGAGCACTGGGTCTGGGGCGGTTCCTCTCAACTGCAGAGGGAGAAACTCCCCGCAGCCAGAGAAAAGAACCAGACCGTTTTCCTCCAGGGGACCGGGCTTCCCCACCCCTCGTAGCGGCGGTTGCTGCTCCTGGTGCCTCCACCCCTACCCTCTCCCTGTTTCTGCACCACCTCGGCTCTCGTGTCCCTGTCCAGCTCTGTGTCCATCTTACTGTTCCTGATAGACACGTCTGCCGCTATGAACCCGGGACACAGACAAGGGCGCGTTGGAGACCTTCATGAAGCTTCGTGCCAGGACCCTGCCAGCAGAGGGGACAGGTATATGCTGGCCACTTTCCCAGAGCCGCCCTACGCTGTCAAGGCCGGACGGAAGGAAAACCATTCAACATTTATGAATGAACCGGAAAACCTTCAGGCTGAAGGACTCAAGATTCTTGGCCAATCTCTAAGGACAGTTTTTGATTTATTAAATTTAAATAGATTAGTAACTGGCATAGGCTACTGTGGGCAAGGAGGAAATCCTTTTTTCTTGGAGCTGGCAATAATTATTTCAATTATTGATGGGAGCGAGTTGACTGCTACCAGTGGAGTCCAAGATGAGCAATGCAAAAAGCCCACAAGAAAGTTGTGAGGACTCATCGTTTTATTTGGATGTCCCAAGACTCGGCCCCAGTACTGGAATCAGAACAAAAATGCAGTTCCTCAGCTGTCCTCCCACACTACCTTCATAGGGAAGCCAACAAATGAGATGAAATAGAAGTTTCTGTGGTGATCAGGTTTTGCCTGGACTTGAAGGAAATCCCATCTGCTACTACAGTCAATGGAGCCTGAAGCTCCTATAACAGCTAAAGAATACTCCACTAAATGGTAAAAGAAAAGAAAGAAAAAGAAAAGTATGTCACCGTGAAATAAGAATTACTTTAAATGGGGCCGAGGATTTAGCTCAGTGGTTCTGCCGCCTGCCTTGCAAGCACAAGGTCCTGAGTTCAATCCCTGGTATCAAAAAAAAAAAAAAAAAAAAAAAA